TTAAAATTATATATATTAATTTGATTATCATTGATAATCAAATTAATATAAACGATTATGAAAATCGCGATTTAATCGGCGATTTTTAACGATTATGAAAATCGCGATTAATCGTTCACCAAAATTCGACTCGAATATATAATTGACTCGCGATTAATCGCAAGTCCGTAATCGCGATTTCTATCCCTAGATGAAATGTGTTATAATGTAGCGATACGCATTCGCGAACTTGGAGGGAATATTAGACAATCTACAGTAAAAAATTTTTATAATAGAAGTAGTGATTGTAAAGCTAGTACAGTTAATGAAATAGATAGATGGTTAGACAGTATGGGATAGGGAAAGGAACCGTCATTTTTACTATGTAAAAGGCTTAGGATCTGACGGACATTTATGCTTTATTCTTCCCTCTTAGCTCTCTACTCCATACTTCTATCCTCCGAATTAGCCTTTTGCATTTATAATAATAACGTTAATAAAAAAATATTACTAGAAGAGTCATAAAGTTAATATATTTTATTTTATTTCGTGTTTCAAGGAGTGTGTGAATGTTCCCACGTTTAATGCAAGTATTTTTTTTGTCATTGGTGCGCAATCATAAACCTGAATTCACATGTTTTTTAGTGCAACCAATTTCTCATATATATTCAACCATTAGGTTTTTTTTTTCTATTTTCTGGACGCTTCGCTCATGAAATTTTCTTTTCCATTTCGATCGCGCAATAATAAATGAATTTTCTGCTTACACGGTAGAAGAAAGGTGAGAAATAACTACTGAAGGTGATAATAAAATGCAGTTTGCAGTTACCATAAAAAAATACATTTTGCACATGACTCGATAATCTACGAATTGCAATAAAAAAATTACATTTGCACATGATTGACTCGATAATTGATTTTTATGCCTTCACTCGTCAAATATTTCTCTGCTCTTAAGGATTCACGAATTCAATTTGGATGCCTGTTTAAAAAACAGAATCAACTGAATTACATCAATGTTCGAGCAAATGAATTTACGAATAATGATTTAGAAGCATTGAGAGTAAAATTTCAACCGGCACCTGAAGGCCACGTTATTCCCAACGAGAAAATCGAAAAATTTCCAGAACAGTACGTTTGCCCTAGAATAAACAGAGACATGCTCAGCAAAGAAGGATTCAAAGTTCAAGAAATAAGTAATTTTTCAGACGTTCAAACATTCTTTAATAAACTGCATATCGTCACGAGAAACTCACCAGGAATACCCGAGTCTCGTACTGATGCCTTGGTTGATGATCTGTTTCGTGTTACTAGACTGAATAAATATCCTTTGGAGATAGTGTGAGTAATTTGAGAAAGTCGTGCCATATTACCTTATTCTTAAATTTTCTTTCTTTAAAATCAGACCACAACTACCATGTAAACTATATATCTTCAATAAGCCTTATGTTTCGGCAAAACCCGACTTTTTGATAACTAAGGGAATAATATCTATGATTATTGTAGAGGTATGTGTTTTTTTTATTGTTTGACTGGTCAATATCTTTGATTATTGATAAGTTTTTTGACAGGATAAAACCTTACAAAACGCCGACCGTTTTAATACTTATGGAGAAACGCAAATGGCTGCCGAACTGCTTGCTTGCGGAAATGAAAATATACGTAAAGATGATGAGATCACTGATCAGGTTTTATTTGCTGTTCGTTTTATCTCTACCTATACTACATTTTACAAGGCCGATATTCCCGTTTCATATTGGAAGGAGCTTAATAATGGTTTACCAAAAAGAAATTCGATCAAAATCAAAAGATGGCCAGGAGAAAATTATAAGAAAAGTGGTCTTGATCTCGCAGACCCAGGTGGAAGGAAAGCGGTGTTGACTGCATTAGCAAAAATTCGTGAATTTCTTTTGAAGTAGTCGAATCAGTAATAATAGCACGATTTTAAACGCGCTTTGAGACATTTTATATTTAGTATGACGTATTATTTTCTATTTCACATCGCTACATTTTCAAATTCATTTTTTGGAAAAATATATGATCTTTATTTTCTGATTTTCTGATCTCCCATAATTAATACGTCACATTAAATTTGATGAGCCGATCAACTAGCAATAATTTGTCCCGCACAATAAATTCATTTTCATATCGGGTTTTCGAAATATAAATTGCATATTAAGTTAGCATATTAAAGTTAGCAAACATTCTAAGACAATTTCGAGGCTTTGTCTCTTAAGAGATCAGGCACGATGTGCTATTTTGACATGAATTTTATTTGGGAGAAATGATACCGAAGCAAAAAATAATGTATTATAAGTTATATTAAACACTTGTCTGCAATTAGATATTATTTATATATTATGAATTGATTTTAAGTCAAAAATTTTGAATGCTTGGTTGATGAAACACTTAATTTTTTGTATTCTTTCTAGAATAACCTTTTCTGATTTTTCGTCATACCATACCTCAATAAGAAAAATCCCATTATCTTGACATATGCATCTTTTTAACCAATCACGATTTACAACATCCTCAAGTTTTTTAACATCTTTATACCAGCTAGTGCTATGGAGCCAATGTTGAGCCCCTTATACAGTAGGTGATCAAAAATCACCGGACAGTTGAAAATTTTTAAAAAAATTACTAAAATTAAAATGCTGATTCTTCCACAACGAATGATCTAATTTGTACAAACTTTTTTTTATTAGATTCCCCTAAACCAGAGCTATTATATAATATATTTTTTTTAAAAACTAAGTGTCTGTA